GTACTAAATAATATATTCATGGATATATAACAATAAAAAATTAAATAGAGCAGACATATTGAAAATATCTAAATTTAACTAGTTAGAGAACAATTACATGTATACTAAAACCGTTGACGCTCGGAATACTTAAGTTAACATAATTTCTTAAACAATTAATAAATAAATATTTTGAAAGAAAATTGAATAAAACTAATTCCAGACCTTTGAAGAGAGAGTAATACTACTCGCACAAGATAAATATTAACATAATTTAATATAAGACGTCTTCACATCTGGAAACTAAAGTTTAACTTCACTTTCATAATTAGCATATCTGACAAAGGCTTATGCCGAGAGGCGTATTTTATTATATAAAACACATAGCTAGAAACTATTATAGTCGACTAAATTCGTTGGTACATATCCGTTTTCTATTTAGCGTGCAGAAGTCAGTCGCCGCAAAGTGAAGAGTTTGCAACTGGAGTAGTTTTACTTCGCTTATTCCCGGTTGGTTTGGCGGTGTCGACAAACATTCTAACTCGTTGAATTCTCGGCTTTCCGCACTCCAACTCAAATTTAATGAACGTATAGTACCTAGGGATGACAACGCTTTATCGAAAAAATGTCATACCTACATTATTGATATCGTTTTCTTGGTACAAATATGTATACTATATTCCTTATGGTAAAAATATATGATTTTTGTTCATGATCAGCAGAGATCGGATTCTGCTTTGTTTCTGAGCTACAGGGGTTAATTTTCATATTTTTTTCGATTTATTATAATTTTCTTCCAAGCGACTTGAATGAAATTTTAATGGTAAAAGTTACTACTCTCACCGGCACGAAAAACGGGCACCTTAAAATTTAATATATTTTTTTTAGTGGGCTGATTTTTATGATTTTTTTTAAGCAACATATAGCTAAATTATTTGGCTTTTTAGTATCTCTTTCTATATTACAAATAAAAGTTCTATGAATTATACGAGGGCAAAAAAATGTTCATATTTTGGTGAAAGTTTGAAACACCCTGTGGAATATATTAAGGCAGCAAGGAATTTAGAAATTATTTTATGATATAGATACATTCTTTCTCGATAGTCTGTTTTTTAGTTCATCTTAATAGCTTTATTTGTTTTGGAGATATTCGCTTTTGAAGAAGACATTAACATTTTTTCATAATGTTTACATTAAAACTATGCCTATGCTTTTGGTCCTAGTCAACAGACCTAGTAAGTTGTGTTCCCAAAGCAGGCCTTCTTGATATAAGATTTGCTTTGTTTAATCTTCTTCTTACAGTCTGCTCACTTACATGTACGTTCCAGCAAACGTTAGGTGCAATTCATTATAAATTTTACAAGCTGACAAACGGCGCGGCGGTTTCTTAGCGATAAACTTACAATATGTCGATCGTCTCGATTCGAAGTTCCCATACAAAGGTCCCTGGACGTCTAGTATATGAAATTGCCTCGAGGAAGCGACTGCACTGTACTTCGTGTGCACCTAAATCTGTTAGTGACATAAGTCTCTATATAGTGTTTGATCTCTATCATCTTCAATTGAAGCAACTATAGCGGATAAAACTTCTGGATTTAAAACCATCTCTACTAGAGTAACTGTCTAACAGCCATCAGATAATGCTAATATGATTTTTTAATAACAGTTACATTACATAAATCATAAACACTATTTCACAGATCTGTTGGCTGGGGACTGGGACCCAAAGCAAAAGAATGGTTTTAATGTAAAAATTACGAAAAAATGTTAGTGTCTTCTTGAAAAGGGAATATCTCCAACACAAACAAAGCTATTGAGATAAATAAAAAAACTAACTATCGAGAAAAGATATACCTAGATGAAAAATTTATTTTTAATTGTGCCCTGCTTTGTTAACATATACCACAGGGCCGTTTCAATCATTTCATCGAAATATCAACACATGTTTGCCCTCGTATAACACAAGTATACACGGTTTTGGACCTGAGCAACTAAAAGCAATTTCTAAGATAATTTTTGGAGCTGAATCCAAATCAGCAGTACATTTTTTAAGATTGGTTCTAGTTTTCGAAATATTCAATAAATTCATTATTATATTATTTTTGACCGTTAACGGTCATTTATTGAATTAAACAATATAAATCAGAAATGAACAGAGGTTGAATCGAGTCTTTTATACTGCTTGGGATCTGTTTCACGGATTAGGGTCCAGCAGTAATCGCTCATCAAGCCTTCGTCCCAAAATCCTTACTATCGCCTTTCGATTTTCGCTATATCTTGGTGTAGCCGCTCTCCTTGCTCGTCGCTCGTGTCGCCCAAGTTTTGTGGAAAAAAATCATGATGTGAATGCAGAAAATGTATCTTGAGAGACATTCGAGCTCCAATCTTGTGGTAATTTTGCAAACAAATTGTCGATTACTTGCTTGTAATCCGGTGATTTATGTTTACCGAGAAAGTTGTGAACAACACTTTGAAATCAAGCGTTAAACTTTAAAATCAAGCCTTTTTCATCAAGCGTTAAACATTTTGTAAACGTTGCGTCAATATTAGTTTTCGAATATCAGGTCCGACAAATATTCCTTCTTTGATGTTTGCGTATGACACGTATGAGTTTTGGAAACAACTTGATTAAGTACTGGAAAGCCGGTCCTTCGCGATTCAGCGCTTTGACAAAGTTCTTAATAAGGACAAGTTTAATGTGAAGAGGTGGCAGTTAAACGTCCTGTGGGTTTACAAGTGGTATCAACGTCGTCAACTGACCGTGCGTCAACTACCCGGGCCGTTATAAGAGCGCAGTGCTACTACCATGCGCGAACTCGAAAACTAGAGCCAATCTTGACAAACGGATTCAAGATCTGCGTTCAGGGCATCAAATAACGTTAAGAATCGTTCTCATCTACTCGGGTCCAAAAGTTGACCCGAATTTGTAAACTTGTGTAATTGACACACGGGAACTTTCAATTTAGAAAGATATACTAAAAAGTAAAATATTTTTTAACAAAATACGGGGTGGTCCGAACTGTATTCCGGAAACTTCGGCAGTATATTCTGCAGGTAAAAATAAGTAAAAAAGTTCGTATGTATGTCCTAAAATGCTTAGTTTCAGAGATACAGGGTGTAGAAGTTTCATTTTTATTTCGATTTTTTCTAAATAATTTCTAAAATAACGTCAATATTTGGATGAAAATTGGTGTCTGGAAGTTTTTTGACATGAGAAATTTGATTTTGATGTCAATATGACTCCTACTAGTAGAGGGCGCCACCTACGTGTGTTTTAACTGTTTTGAAGCGTAATAACTTTTTGTCCGTACCTGTATAAAACTACCGAGCGAAAAAATATACATCTCTGTGATTATTTTACGTAAAAAATATCTCTTTGTAAAAATCGCTAAGATATTTAGAATGGAAATAGTAAATACATTAGTCATTATTGACGAAAAATAAACACGTTGAGTTAGATAGTTATTTCACTGAAATAATAAATTTTGGAAATTTTTATTTTTTTAAATTAATCATAAATTTTTCTGCAAAAAATGATGATAAAACAGTTTCTGTTGAACATTTGGAACAAAAACATATCAAATTTATGATTTCAGTCTAATAACTATTTCGTCAACATGTTTAATTTATGTCAATGATGACAGGTATTCATAATTTCTTTTCCAAATATCTCGAAAACCATTACTCGCAGTGGTTTTTACCAAGAGACCTTTTTCACGTAAAAAACGTCGTAAATGTATATTTTTTTACTCAGTAGTTTTATACAGGTACAGGCGAAAAGTTATTACTCGTCAAACCAGTTAAAAAATATGTAGGTGGCTCCCTCTACTAGTAGAAGTCATATTGACATCAAAATCAAATTTCTCATGTCTAAAAACTCCCAGACCAAAGTCCCAGACACCAATTTTCATCCAAATATTGACGTTACTTCAGAAATTATTTGGAAAACATCGAAATAAAAATGAAATTTATACACCCTGTGTCTCCGAAACTAAGCATTTTAGGACATACATTTATACGGACTTTTTTACTTATTTTTATCTGCAGAATATGTTGCCGAAGTTTCCGGAATACAGTTTTACAAAATTTTAAGGTGGCCGTTTTTCGTGCCGGTGAGTATATAAGTGCGACATTTAGTCTGACCTATTTTAATGCTAACAAAATGTTGACAGATTCACCAGAGACTTGCATTTGGGTTATCACTGGAATAATTTTCTAAAAAAAACATGTGCGCCACTGACTTTTTTTATTAGCAAAATTGTCTATTTAATACCGATTAAAAGTTGTATCTTGATATTCTGTCGATTTCCTTGATGAGATAAACTCTTTTTGTGGAGAAATTCTTGTTGATGAGGAATCAAAGAGTACTTATTCTAATATACTAATTCGTTAAATAAATGTAAACTTTGCTATTAGACTTGGATTAAGGCCATGGAGGCAAATTAATAAAATTGTGGTTTATTTCACCAAGAAGATCGAAATCAACAAAATACCAAGAGACAACTTTTAATCGGCATTACAAGGCCTACACAATGTGTGCTAGCAACATAAAAAAAGTCAGTGGCCATACTATTTTAGAAAAATATTCCCGTGACAACCCATATAATGCTCGTCCTTTGTGAATTTGTCAACACTTTTTTAGGCACATCCACATTTTTTACCCCTCAAAATTTCATTCGAATCACTAAAAGCACTTGGAAGGAAATTATAATATATTGAAAAAACTTTACTTGACTTTTACCCGCTATAGCCGATTTTTTTTATAAAATACAAGACCATTTTTCGAAATTTATCTCTTTCATAAGCGTTTCAGCTTACATATTCAAAATATTGCCCATTTCGGTTAATGCTAGGGAAAGGCGAGGTTCGTGGAAACTGATCTCAAGCCGTTTTTGTGTAACTAAAGGAAATATTACTAGAATTTAGGGTTAATTAGAAACGCAAACTTAATTAATGGATAGAAACTACCACCCCCTCCCCCTCCCACCTCTTTCATACAAGATATTCTCGTTTTTACTTACTTCCAAAGCTGCAGCTGTGGAGGCATCGTGATCATTTTCAACTGCTTCTATCTGTTTGAAAATTTCCGTACTAATTCCTGACACCTGAAACAACAAATAAAAATATATATTATACAAGCGTGTACCAGCGACTTCGTTCGCGTCGAATTAATCATTTGTAATGGTGATGATAAAGCAAAGCAAGAATTTCCATTAACATACAAACTGGATAAAATTTTCTCACATTTATGTCAGCATGAGAAAAAACAATATGGCGATATTATTTTATAACTTGGTAATATTTGAGGGGTAGTTTCATCTCGTTGGAATTTGACTTTCGAAAAATCCGTTTGCTAAAAATAAGCTTTTTACGTCAAGCAGTTTAAGCAGAATCGTGGTTAATCAATTACCCAACTTTTTGGAACACCCTGTATGATTTTTTAAAAAAAATTCAAAATATGTAAAAAAAAAAATAAATTATGCTTGTCCAAGCGTTTTCCCGAAAGACTAACCGTTTTTTAAATAACAAATATTGTAATATTTGAGGGGCGTTTTCACCCTCTTGGAATTTGAGATTCGAGAAACCCGTCCTTATCGAACCTCTACACCCCACAGTCAATCCGTTTGGTCATATTTTATGAAACACCCTGTATAAATTTATAAAAAAATCTTAAAATATCTAAAACAACAAAATAAAATATACGTGTTTAAGTTTAACAAAATAAAATATACGTGTTTTTTTAAATAAAAAATATTTTAATATTTGAGGGATAGTTTCACCCCCTTAGAATTCGAGTTTCAAAAAATCCCTTCTTATCGAACCTCTACACCCTAGAATCAACATGTATGCCAAAATTGAGCTTCTTATGTTGAGTGGTTTGAGCAGGATCGTGATTAATCAGTATGTCAGTCACTTAAGGATTTTATATATTAGTATAGATTAGATGAAATGAATAATTAAAAAAACCTTCAGAGTCAGAAAAAAAACATGTTTCCACCTAGTGACTTTAAAGCTCGGTTGTACAAAGCTTAAACTCGAGTTCAAGTAAACTCTGTAAAACTGGACTCAATTTAGGCATATTTTCTTGTAGTATAAGATTGTAGCATGATTAAAAGCCCAGTTTGATCCTCGATCGTCAAATACCTAATTTTTCATCTGCAAGTTCAACGAGAAGAATTCATTAAATAACCTATTAAAATTTTTAATTTAGATGATAAGGAAAAGCTTTAACACAGAATATTTAGTAATATTTTTTCAACAGGAAAATAAAATATATGCCTTAGATAACATTAGTTGAGGAAACATTTACTTTACCTTTAATAACATTCTTTATCACAATAACCAAGACTTACAAACCAAAGTAACATCAATCCGTCTCGAACGATACCTAGTTTAAAAGCTATTACCTAACATCTATCATCTCTGTTCGTCGTCTGATTTCCCTCTCCCTAGTTTGTGAATAATATTTTAAAAATCAATAATTTTATTTATGTATACAGAGTGTCTTAATACTGAAAGCGTTCTGAAGGTATTGAATTTAAAGAAATATGTATATAATATATATATATGTTATTATAAAATTATTATGGTTATTGTGAAGTTCCTCTGTAGTTAAGGATCTTTGAAAAAATGAGCATATATTTATTTGCAAATACTCATATTACACTCTCCAAAAAAATCCTTTATGTGTATTTCGCCACTGCACTGCAAGAAAATCTACAAAATAAAATAGTTATTTTTTGTAAACACTTCTGCGTTAAACCTAAACGGACGCTGCTTGTCAGAAGTTATGTTTACAGTAACACAAATTTGCCTAACAAAGAAAAAAATGCTTAACGTTTCGGAAAGTTATCTCTTTCCGTCGTCAGAAGTAAAAAATACAAAGAATAAAGAAAAAAACTATTTAAAATATTTAAGTTCAACTTTAATCTACTACCTATATTGCCATATTATCAAGAAATTATGTTTTTTAACAAAAAAAATTCCATTTTTTTTTCAAAATATTCCAAATTTTCAATTTTTTGTTTCGCAAAAAAAACATATAGTCGTGTTTCTGGGGTCGAAATATACTACCCCTAAAAATATTTGCACTTATTTAAGACTCACCCCGTATAAACAAGAAGCTCTCGTATACACGTAATTCCGATATTCGGAGCTACCTCGTATTATAGCCCTCATTCGAAAATTAATCAAGATTGTCGAGTTCTACAAGATAATCGATTCCAATTCCAATTATTATAATAATTATTCACAATCGATTCAATGCCCTTAGAAATGGTGATTAGGTGTTATGTCGAAAACTAGATCAACTCGAATATTCCCTCATTAAGATCATTAATAATTATGGATAAACAATCACAAACAACTCGCTCTTACCAATATCAGCATAGATCGTCCGTCATAATCATCTGTTAGTACGATGAAAATCTACCTCTAGGAACACGTTCTTCTCCTAGTGCAAATATTTTTAGAAGGATAGTGAGAGTTGCACGCGACAAATCACAGCTAGGTCGCAAAAGCTCAGGACGTCCACGAAAACGATGGAGCAACAACTTGTCAGTCTACAACCGGTAGAGACCTCTAACCGGTAGAGATGACGAAACTAAACAGGCGATTTGCCTAGTATGAAGAAGGAAGAAGAAGAAGAAGAAGGAACACCTTCTCCTAGTAATAGTTATGTTATAAAGTATATTTTATCTTGATGTTTATTTAAACTAGTCCAACTCCGTTGCAAATTAGTTATTAGACCAATTTACATTGCTTTGACGGATTCTGTAGCGCTAAACCATTTAGAAGAAATTTCATTTTGCTTGATTTTTTTTAATTAAATTTAATTAAAAATTAACACAACACCATGAGGACTGCGCTACAGCTCGAAGACTATGGCCAGTTGTAGATAGCAAAAAGACAAAACAACTACTAGAGCACAAAAAAGATCTAGTACGCATAATTGTAGGTTTCGTCACTGGAAACTGTCCCACGGGGGTAAACCTCGTGAGATGGAAAGTTTCCAAAGACGACTACTGCAGAGAATGCGGAGAGGAAGAAGAAACCATAGAGCACCTGCTGTGTCACTGTACGGCACTGGAATGCCGACGCTTTAAAACTTTAGGGCAAAGTTTTTTGGAGGGACCAGAGGAAGCAGCAGAAGCCAACATCAGCGACATCGGAAACTTTGCAAAGAGCTAGAAGTGCTTTAACGCAAAGAAAGAATGAGGGGAAGGTTTGGTACAACAATACAGGGGTATCGCAATGGGCCCAAGCAGGCCTCCGAGTGAGGGATCAAAAATGATCCCAAACCCCAGCAACCTAACCTAATCTAACCTAATCAAAAATTAACATAAGATATTGTGTTACTCTTGAGTATCTTAACAAAAGACATTTAAAATAAAAATAACCAAGAAATGCTTTTTTTGCTCGATATATTTGAAAAGTTTTTTCTTTTTTAATTTTACAAAAATGTATATGAGAATTTTCAGCTACCTAAGACCCTTATTTTAAAAGAGGTCAGTGGCGTACCATCCTTTTCTTCAAAAATATTCAATTTATTACATTAAATTGTTTATTACATTAAAACCTATATGAAACGCCACTGTTTGATATTAATAAAATTGTTTGTACATCACTTTGATGCATAGAAGACGTGTATCAAGTTTCAAGATATTTATAATACCATCAGTGTTATTATATAAAAAATATTTTTGTTAGAAAACTTCACCACCCTGTATCTCAAAAAAAGTATTAGCAATGACTTAAGAAACACTCTATATATGTCTATACAGGGTGAATTTTAAATAAGTGCAAATATTTTTCGACCCCAGAAACAAGTCTATGAGGTTTGTTCGCAAAAAAAATTAAATATTTGCATTTTTTTTAATTTTCAGTTAAAAAACATAATTTGTTGATAACATGGCAACATGTAAATTAAATATACAAGAAAGGAAACCTAGAAAAGATCCAGTGGTTCTCAAAATTTAAGCAAAAATTATATATTTATAATTTTCAAACTAAAATAACTCAGTTATTTTGGACTTATTTGAAAAACGGTAAAGAGAATCTAATCTAATCTTTTAAAAAAGGTTTCTTTTATCGAGATCTGCCAGCTCTAAAAATATTCGCACTTACTTAAGACTCACCCTGTATAATTTAAATAATCAATTTGTTAGTGAACTAATTTAATATAAATTTGTTATTGAACCAATTAATGCAAAGCATGAACATATAATATGGTCCTTTTATTGTGATGTTATCATAAAATTGGGAATTGTTAGTCCCAGTAAGTTATTGATTTCATATTAAAAGTGTTCGTTAGTTCTTTTTTGAGATATGGCGATATTAAGTGTGAATAAATTGCAGCAAATTTTTTTAATAATTTTTTATGTATTTTTTATCAATTTCCAATGAAAGGTTATTGGAATAACATATTTTTTAAGCCAAAGTACTAAAAATTAAATCCTAAATCCTAAATATCAACGTCATTAAAATTATTTCTATAGCAGCCAAACAAACTCGATGGTGCATTTGCGAGATAGATCAAAATAAATTTTCAGCGATGAATAGCGGATTAAAGGGTATATTTTTAAATTAAGTAGCGAAAGGGAGTAAACTGACAGCAATTTATTTGTATGGCTCATTAACGTCGGCTTTTGTAGAACTTTTATTTTCACATTTAATACCGGTACCAACATTATTATCCTTATAGAATTATAATAATTATGACGGTTTAATTTATAATGGTTTTTTGTTCATATACATTTTTTTTAATTTAGTTATTTTCACCTAATATTGTTCTTGTTAAATTGTTAAAATATCATGTTTTTGATTAGAGCGTGACAGTTTAAGAAATCGATCAGATGATAATTCACATAAAAATAATATTATTTGTCGAATGCGGAGCAACAATATTAAAAAATCCAAATAACAGTATTTTAATTTGGTAGTCATTTTTCCATATTTTTCCACACACATTTCAGATTTTTCTTTTCAATTGACAATATTCAATTGAGTGATCCTCGTTCCGAAAACGTAACAAATAAATAAAAAAAATCAACAAATGATGTCGTTCGTATCGTTTGTGTATCATAAATGATATTGCATATTTGTA